TGTGTGTACATATACATACACATGTACATACACATACCATATATATACAAATATGCAACTATAAATGGATAACATTTATTATGCTCGATTTGTCAACTTTTTTTATTTGGCACACTTGGAATAAAATAAATTTCAAATGAAAACATTGAGAGATGAAGTATAGAAGTTAAAAAATTTCAAAAATTAAATACTTATCCTTTGACGACAAATCGTGTTACGAATTTGAAATTAATACTTTTTTAACATATTGTAGCATGAAATGATAAAAGATAAACATAAAAAATGAATATTTCAAAAAATACAATAAAAATATGAAGAACTAAGTAACTTATTGAAGTTGCAATGAAAAAAGAACATATCTTATTCAAGTCCCTCGAAAATACTAAGTAGATCGGTCTGTGTTTCGGTATGACTCGTTTGTGTATTTAACCAGGATCTACATGTTCCAGTGGGAATGTTGCAATCGGTTCCGCAAATAAGCGATTTTGTTTGAGTCTCGGTAGAAACTGTAGTGTCGTCGTGCGACCAAGCAGTCTGAGTCTGTATATTGGATAGTCCTAAATCGGAAGACAGCATTTTATCGCATGTTTGAGTGTACGTGTTGCTATATAGCAGTTGGTCCATGTTGTCTAGATTATCTGTAGTTTGCGTTTCAATGTTTGAACTTAAAGCAAACGGTCTCGACCCGAAAGATTCGGAATAAAAATACGAAGGAGAAAAGGCTTGTTCGGTTTGTGTTTCTATACTGCTAAATCTGTCTTCGAATGTCTTAGTGCTTAGCATAAGATCTGCCTGAGACATCCCATCGGTCGAAGCGAAAGAATACCCTTCAACCGCTGACGTATCTTCGACATAAGGCAAAGTCATTAAAGCTACTGTACTCTTCGGTACACATTGCATTAAAGGATTATGACTGTGATTGTAGAATGTATCAAATTCCGTCTGAGTCACGCTATCATTAAATGCTTCGAATATATCTTTTTCTGGTATCGTTTGCGTGCCTGAAGTATTCTTCTCCTCCCAGAAATCCTGCAAGCCCACGTCGTGACGAAGCGGCAGCGGACTAGCCGGAAATAAATTGGTCGATGCGAAATTGTTGCCAAGATTAAGATCCTCTTTTAGCAACGTCTGTTCTGATTGTTTCGACAATACGCGATACTTTCCACCACGTTTATTTATCTTCGGTACTTCTCTGTTTGCTTGTGGTGTTTGTGTTTCTATCGATTTTCCGGAGGTTTTCTCCTTAAAAAAATGATTGGTTTGTGTTTGCTGAGATATTCGACGTTTCGTATTGTGTAGATTATTATTATTGAATTTTAATGGGCTCGGTCTCTTGCTTCTTTTATAATCGTCTGTCTGTACTCCGACATCGGATGTATTTTTTATCGTATTAATACTTTCATTATTCTTTCCAGATTTATCTGGATTGGGTAGTATCGAGACAGGTTTACTTATAATTTTCCTAGGTAAGATAATTTGTGTTGTCTTGGAGTTGGTATGTCTGCAAAAATATCATAAATGTATCAGTAAATTTTCTATTCAATTACAGTTATAATAATCATACCTAGTGATGGATTTTCAATCAATTTAATCATTGTTCTGTTTCGAAACATTTTGAATATTATTCCAAACTGTATACTCTTGAAAAGTCTTAAAATTTGATAATTCTTGATTTCTTCGATTAAAAAAACATTTGTTTAAATTAAAGAAATTTGAGCATTGCTACCCGATTAAAGAAAAGTTTCTGTGATTTAAATCTCATTTCTTGAAATCAAGTAAATTTTTATTTTTGTCAAATGTATTTTCACTTTAATTTAAAAAAATCACGAAAGAAACCATTGTTTAATTGTTTAAATTTATTAAACATTATTCCTTTTCACACAGAAAAATTTAAACGGTTCAATTGAAATGACATCAGGGTATCTTTTCATAGTCCTAATAAAATGGGTAAATATATTAAAGTACAAAAGGATATTTGTCCCCATACATTTAAGAGCAATGTAGTTTATAAGATACCGTGTAATAATTGTGATGCATCATATATTGGACAGACGGGCAGACAATTGAAAACCAGAATTACAGAACATCATAATCATATTAGACATAACACTTCTGTCCGTTCTGTCATAACAGAGCACAGGCTGCAGTATGATCATGATTTCCAATAGGATAATGTTAAAATTTTAGATGAGGAACCTTGCTATAGGAAACGCTTAATTTCTGAGATGCTCAATATTAAAAAGCAGAAAAATAGTTTAAATTTACAAACTGACACTAAAGGTCTTCACAAGGCATATATACCTATTGTAAATAAGATTTGACTTTTCGATACTGATAGTCCGTCTCTTCTCTCAGTCCATGTTGATACGTATCAGCGAGCGTACATAATAATCGATACAAAATGTCCGTCTTACACATCTGCGTTCCAGTTAACTTTATATATTCTAATGGTTTTTCATACTTACATGGACACACTTGTTTGAATAATTTACATATGATTTTTGGTGAGTTTTAATATTTATTAGAATTCCGGTATGTTAATTTAGTTGCGTTTATTTTTTCGTAAGAAGTCTTTTTATCTTTTTTATCAACTAGAACTTTTCCAAGAGATATGAAACACATTTGATTGTTCAATTGTATATGAATAATCGAGTTCTACATCAAGACTCACCCGAACTGTGATTATAGTGAGTATGCGAGCATTTCCGATAATTAATTTTGTACTGCGATTTTTTTCGATAAGTTAATGTCTGAAGAGGGCTCAATCCGGTAGCCGAAACATGTAATTTATTTGTATTTAAACTGAGTATTTATTTTATTATATATTTTTTCAATTTTATTTTTCTCTATTTGTAATTTATTCTTTTAATTATGTGACTTTTTTAAAGAAATGTGTTTGACACTCTTACTTTGCCCTTTATTTATTGTTATTTAAATTTATTAAAACGTTCAAGACATTCGAGATTTTTCAAGATATTCAAAACTTTTTAAGATATTCAAGACTTTTCAAGACATTCAAGACTTCTCAAGATACATTTAAGATTGTGCGATTTCTAATCATATTCGAATTAATTCGAATTTTCATGACATATTCGAACTAATTCAAAGCATCTTGATATCCATTAATCATGCCATTATTAAAAATGCGCAATGTGAATAAACATACCGCGAATTTTTATAATTTTCCGTTATAGTGTGCAGAGATCGCTTTGCATGCGTAAGCAATGCTTCATATGTGACATAAGTCTTTGAGCAGGAACATGTGAATTCTATGCCACAGACTCTTGTATGTCCGTTTTTAGCAGATTCAGTGGAAAAACTCTTATCGCAGCGATCACACGCATAATTTTTTTCTGCGTGTACCTTCAAATAATGCTGTGAAAGGATATACTATATAGCGTTATTAATATATTCTTAAAATTGTCCTCTCCAACTTTTTGTCATAATGCTCATTATCATATCGAAATATCGAAATATACATACCTGCTTCAAGTATTTCATGGTGTTAAAATATCTCTGAGAATTAACAGCGTAGACGCACGACTGTATTGGGCAATGATAGCGTGCATTTTCCTTTGCAATTTTATCTAACTTTTTGTGCTGGTGCACCTTGAGATTATGTAGCCGGTAACGCGGTTCGTTTCTGAAAACAAGCCCGCATTGCTCGCATTTGACATTGTTATTTATTATGCTCAGCTCTTCCGGCGATGGACAGATCATCTTCACGGATAGCGACGCGCTGCTCTCAGCCGGTCTATCAGGTCTCCTTGGCATTGCAGGTTATCTTATGACATGATTTCACATAAACTCTCACCGGTATATTTGTTGATTCAGCAATATACAAAAAATACTTGGCTATGTTGTCACTTTTACTCTTTTTTTTCTCATCTCATTTAGCATGGTGTCTCTTTGATTTAAAGTATCTACAGCATAATTAAAGTCATGTATAATGTATTAAAAATGTACTTCATTTTTTCTAAAATGCAACAAGTACTCCAAAATACTTAATATTATATATATATATATACACACACACACACAAAATCTTACATAGTATATTCATTGTTTGGAAAGCTTTTTCTTATACGTCTCTCGTCAAACTGAAGATATTGATACAATTCCAGACATCGTATATATAGATAGAGTTATCTCAGCTGTTCGAAACCATCTTGAAACCAGTAAGAAATTCGGAATTAGAATAGTGACACAATTATCGCTTTTGCGTACCCGCACGCATCCCTCAGTCTGTCAGCGCGGCGCTACTTGTCGCGCAAGCCGGGAACGAATCCTCCTTTGCGCCCGGCTCGGTACGTCTCGCTCATCGGGCATCGGGCCGGTTGGGTCGATCCGGTCGATCGACCTTCCGAGTTCCGTCCGCGAACAGCGGCGGCGGTGGCAAGTGGCTCGAGAGACGTGTGCGACGAAAGTGGACCGCGGCCGAATTCGTGAGTGCACACAACATACTGACTCAGTACGTTCCGCCACTCGTACGGAGGACGTGCGTGCGTGCACCGAATGTATGTTTAACAATTTTCTTTTTGAAACTATAATAGATCCGTGTGTCGGGACCGATTCCCCTCACAACTCTCGTCTGTCAATGAACACGAGAACTGACGATCCACGAGCTGTCACACGGTAAAGTAAAACTCGACAGTCACGTTTCCGGAAATTTTAGTAGATCACCGTGTATACGACGTGCACCACGTACGTTGCGCGGTCGTATTATTGATTTTTACCTGAGAAGAGAAACGCGTAATCGCAGTCGTACCTACATGTACGTCGCGACTCAATGCATGTAGCTATCCAAGTTTTGTAATCGACTTCTCTCAACACCCCCGGGAATTTTTAGAATTATCCGACTACCCGGTACTCTAACGGAATTATATGTAACAGAATTGATTGCTCCGATATTTTTAACTGCGCTTTTCCGTAACGTTCCTCTTTTCTTCTGCTCGATGAAGCTCGAGTGCTTATTGAGGGTTGAATTTCACAGGGAATACCAATTCTGTCAATATCGGACAATCAGTTGTTTCTGTCTGCATTGCAGTTGAGAGACTGCGACCTAAAAAAAAAAAATGAAATCGTTTAAAAGATAATCAGCATAAGATTTACATAATTCAATTGTCATATGAGGGATTTATTTTTCAATTGCTAATTGATAATTTGTCAGGCTGTCAAAATATCGAGAACTTTTCCTGTAATTTCTCTATGCAAGTACTAATCAAGTTTTTTGGAACTATTTTTCATATCTCGATAATTTTTGCTAAAAAAAACCTGTAAAAATAAATATGAAAATAAAATTTTTTAAATTTTCTCTTCGAAAAATTTCAAATTATTTTAATACGTATAACAAAATTAGTATTTTATAAAATTGCTTATATTTTAAGATTTTTGCATCATGGCGCAAAATGTTATACAAAGCTTTAATAAAGCAATAAAACTAATATATTCATTGTACCAATCTATACGATCGTCGTCGTGCATCGTTTTTTGCACCAATAGAGCTATCATAAATTTAGCATTATCAAAGCTTCTCTATCCACAGTTGTTAAGATTAAGAAAGCGTTATCAATTAAATATATTTTTTAATTAGATTCGTTTTTTCAGATAAAAAATTTAGTTAATAATAAATTTTATTGTATTAGCACACACACACACACACACACACACACACACACACACACACACACACACACACACACACATTAATTAAAATAATGTAGTATAAAATATAAAAATATAACATAAATCTGTAATTAACTTATATGTATATAAATTCATAACTTTGTCATTTATTTACAATAAATAACATGTGAAGTATTCTAATCAATTTTAAAACTTTGATATTGTTTAACTTGCTATCTCAATGGGAGATTATTAATTTTTATGATATAAAAGTCTTCGGCGATTGCCTTTCAATTGCACTTTATTATTTTTTCAACAAATATTTGATAAATAGAAATTATCATTTCTGTAATCTCTCGTTTCGGAAATATTTACATGATTCTGATGCAATTCTGATAACAAAATAATTCACTATTAGAAAAATATATTTATAAGTGACGTCACATGACGTTATCCATAAAAAAATTAACTTTTTTCGAAGAATATAATTATTGTTAGCGGAAACGAATAAAACTACTCGATGTGCCGTTAGCAAACATCGCGGCAGTTGTCACTGATCGATAGCGTATGCTCAAACATTTCAAATGTACTTGCCTTTCATGTATTATTAAGATGCTTTGACATTTTATACCATTATTCTTAGAACGTTTGTATATAATAATTTCGAAAACATTTACTTCATTCGTGTCATCAGAATTAAATTCTGATAACAAAAATTTACTATTAAAAAAAATATTTATAGTTACGACACGTGAAGTTATCCATAAAAAAATTAATTTCATTGTTGAAAAATATGCGTCATAATTATTGTTAGTGGAAACGAATAAAACAGCTGCTCGATATACTGCCAAATGTCAGCAAATATCGCGTCAGTTATCGCTGATCGATAGTGTATGCCCAAATATTTCAAATGTTTGAAATATTTTCAAACAATTGAAAATATTATCTTTCATGTATTATTAAGGTGACATTTTATTTCACACTTGCAAAAATAGCACGTCATAAATATCTAAAAAGCGACTCATTTTGGCATAAATTGCAAACGGTTCATCATATTGACATAATTGTTAAACATGTTGCTATATTAGGTATATGCAGATATACGTACGGTGGTGTTTGTCTTTTTATTCTGAAAAAAGTTATGCGAGTCTTCAGTCGGTGCGCGTATTCTTGGGAAACTGTTCGTGACAAAAACTTAATCACTTTGTCGACTAAAATATCTCGGTGTGTTCTTTGTATTTAATTTCAAAATTAAACATCGGGGTGGTAGGAGCCAATTGCAATAGATGAGATCTATGATTTCATAAATGGGTACCTGTGAAAATTTTTATGGATAAGAGGAGATGTATGACATAGATCAGGTCTGTCCAATTTGAGCTTCGGAGCTAAAACGCAAAGCCATCGATGTAACTGTAAAAAAATTTCAAGATTTGTAGGAACTATAAAGTGTTGATAAGTGTTACTTAAATGCGTATTTACAGTCCTCGAAATATTATCCATACTGAATTTTTTTGCATCAATGGCTTTGCGTTTTGGCTCAAATTGGATAGGTCTGACATAGGTGAATATATAATAAAAATAGAGAGAACCTTATATGTCAAAAAATGTGTAATTTTAGAAAGTATAATTTAAAAATTAGAAGTATTGGCCCTTGATTTTTGTTAATAAAAATAAAAGGCGTGTAGATCTCGAAATAAAATTACCAGTACATTCATGATATTCGACACGTAAAATATAATAAAATGATCAACGTTAAGATAGAAATGCTTAGTCACACTGTCAGTCAGTACTTGTTTGCTAAAAATTTATGTAAACCCGGATCATTCCACGAGATCGTTTCCTTTGCGTGACTAGACATTGCATAGAATAAAACAGACTCGGAAGGGAGAATGTCAGTCATGTGTACTAAAATCGCTATTTATTTTGGTTGCATTCATACAGAGATATAAGAGAGGAAGACAATACACCATAACGTTTCCATTTACGCTGGTAAACGAGATTAGAAGAGACAGAGAAATATAGAAAGAGGAAAGAAGAGAAGAGGTGAATCGATAGCACAAGATTTTGGTGGTATCCCATCAACTGGTGGTGCTTTCATCTCCGGCGTCAAGCCATATTTTCTGTTCCTGTTCTCTTTAGAAAAACGGAATATTACCGGAAAGGGTGCTGAGAGAAATCACTCTCTTCCGCGATGAGAGACACCGGTAACCAGGCCAAGTACGAGCAGCTCTTAGACGACGCTGGTCTCGAAATTCGCAACGACGACAAGGAACACAATGAAGAAAATACGACACTAGACGAGGTAAGCCCAATGGTAGATTAGAATATTTTGCAGCTCTGAACAATGATCAGGAATATGTTCTTCATACATGCATGCATATCGAAATTTTTAGTTGTATTCATCAATACTTATAATCAATATTTAAATTTAATTCTCTATCAGCAGCTAGAATCTTTAAAAATCATCACTGATATTTCGATTGTGACTTATGGTAGATAAATTTAAATCTGTAAAAATAAGTAAAATACAATTCCAACTTTTATAATATAGTTAATAAAAAGCTTTGACAAATATATCAGAATTTATGATTTTTATATAAATATTGAAATAACGGAAAATTTGCTCAAAGATTACTTTTATTGCTGACAGAAGAGTTAAAATTCATATTGCTGACAAAGAATGAAAACTTGATGTGTGACCTGATGTTTATAGATATTACAGTTACAACGTATGCCAAAAATATGCATTCGGCATATTTCAATGGATACTTTGAGAATTTTCTTTAATTCAAAGAGAAAGCTTAAACAACATACTCAGCTGTTGTGTCATTTATTTTAGTGTCTCCAAATTCATTCCTTGAGGGATACTGATATATGTGAATCATTTGGTATACGTACTTTCTGCACGCGTAGTGCAACATAAACAATTATTTCACAACTGGATGAAAAGTTAGACGAAAAAGTTAGGACGAAATGTGCGATTTCTGATATATCTGCAGAATCTCATTCAAGTATTTCAAGTTATCATAGAAATTATCATGGAAGTTATCATAGTATACCGAACTAAAGCAAGTTGTTTCACATGCGCTCCAATATCTCATTTTTTTCGGCCCTAGTTTCCGATATTTAAATTTGAAACTTACTTCAGTATGATTTATCTATTCCCCGTGGCTGAACTTTTTACACTTTTCATCCTTTTACTTTTTGCCTCGTAGTGCAGCTATAAAAAAAAACACGATTGTTCTACCGACAAGAGCGCGAAATTTGGTTCTTGTAACCTGCTGTAACCTCTCTGAACAGTTCCAGTGATTTGTCAAGAGTGTTGAAAAACTGAATATTTCAATTTTCTTTTAACGTCCCACTGAATTATTCCAGAAAGAAAGATAATTGTTATAAAAATAAAAGGCAATAATGAATGAATAATCAGAATTGGAAATCGTGGATTACGATACACGCTTACGTAAGTGAAACTCGTATGTTACAAGGAAATTCTCGTCGCATTATACGTAAACTGCAAGGACATGAAAATGAGAGCATTGCCAATAAATTGCAAGGATTAATACGATTAATATACTTGTATATAATGACGTCAAGTATCACATTCATTCGATCGGCAAATAACACCTGTATCTCGAAAGAATGTTTCAACGACACGTTAACGTTATTAAACCTGTTCTTCTTAAAGTACCTTCTTTACTTCGCCTTCTTTTTCACGTTTGCTGCAAAATGTAATGTCTTGTTTCAAATGAAAAAATACAGGCTACACGCTTGCGCTGTGCAATATGTCACGTAAATAAATGGACAGAAATTGCATGATATATAAATTGTAATGAAAAGCAAGTGCCACCGTACTTATATGGGCGAATCTTATTATTCATTTCCCTCCCAGTACAAAGTCTGGCTTTTGGCTTTTTCCGATTCGTGGAATTTGACGTACGTAAAGACTTGACCCCTTGACTTGACACGTTCTGCCACAAGGGACACATGTGTGACGTGATACGGACACGACGAGAAATCGGAATGATGGAGTGTATACAGAGTTCGGCAAAAGGAAGAGAATGAAGTACGAGATCATTCGTTGATCTCTCTATCGACAATACCCGTTGATAGCTGATACAGCGGTGCGTCCCTCACGAGTCCGCGTTGATCCGCGTCGCGCGATCTCTTTTACATGATGAGATTGTTCGAAAGTGATCGCATTTTCCTATTTAGTTGATATGCTGCCTTGTCTTCGATTATTCTATGATTCTCTGTCCGATTATGCCTAATCGTTACTTCGATATCCGTTTGGAGATGCATTGGACAGATTGACTGGACCGCTGTCGTCACGAGGTTAATGTTCGAACGTTTATTATTTTGTCACAACGTATATCTTTGTTAGTCGAATTTTAACCAACAACTTTTCTGCTTTTATTTATTGTTGGCTCGTTTTTTTTTTTTTTTTTTCCGTCAGTCGAACGTTCTGTCTCGGCGTATGCTTATTCTTGCACAATCGTAACAATGAGATAGTGCACAAGGTAAACAATTTAGCCCAATTTGGTGCTATTGATAAGATGGCGAAAAATAGCGAAAAAATGCGATGACGTGTGCTGATAGTAGACCAGTACACACCTAAGTATTTTCATGTGACAATGGTTTTCAGGGTAAAGGACAAAATTGTGAAATGTGGTTGACAACCGCTGAATCGGCTAGTCTAGGGGCAGAGGAAGTAGCAGCTAGATTACACGTGGATGTACGAACAGGACTCAGATGGCAAGAGGCTGATCATAGAAGGCAACTAACAGGTTTCAATGAGTTTACTGTAAAGGAAGAAGATCCACCATGGAAAAAATATATCGAACAGGTATGTGTTTCCTATTGTAATAAATCTCATATAGATATTAGTAACAACGTATAATATAATTTAATTATATCTGTACACGATCTTGAATTTATATCCTTTTTTTTCAGTTCAAGAATCCATTGATTCTTCTTCTACTTGCCTCTGCATTTGTCAGTGTATGTATGAAGCAATTCGACGACGCTGTCAGTATTACTGTAGTAAGTAGACTTACACATGTCCATTGATCTTATGAATTTTGGTAAGCATTACCTAACTGATACTTGTGTGTGTGATATGTTCTTTTGTAGGCTATCATAATAGTGGTGACAGTTGCATTTGTACAAGAATATCGATCAGAGAAATCTTTAGAAGAATTGAATAAATTGGTACCACCAATATGCCACTGGTAAATAGATTTATGCTTTTTATTAAATGCCTCGTTAATCACACGCTATATAATAATGATGAATATTAGTCCAATCTTGGGGCAGCATGTATCTAAATTTACAATTCTTTAGAAGTATGGTCCTTGGAGGATATATTAACCCTTTATACGTGCAGCATTCCTTTCCCTTCTTAGTGAGGAAGATATAATATGTCGTTGCACTCTATAGAAGGTGAAACTTACTTCTATGAAATTTCGTAAAGTCCTCTATACTTAACAATTAAAGAAATCCCGACTAAGAATAATAATTGTCAAAACATTCTTTATCAAATTTTTACTTTGTTAAAAATTTTTTTTAATTTTCTTAATTTTACTTAATTGTTAAGATACTTTTACATTACTATTATATCTTGATATTTTGTTTCCAGCTTAAGAGAGAGCCGTGTAGAGACATTTCTTGCACGTAATTTAGTTCCTGGTGATATAGTATATTTAAATATTGGAGATAGAGTACCTGCCGATATCAGAATATTTGAAGCTATAGATCTGGCGATTGACGAGAGTAGCTTTACTGGAGAGACCGAACCGGCGCAAAAGTCGACAGCTCCTTTGCTTAAGACTAATGGATTGACGTCGAAGAGGAATATCGCCTTCATGGGCACTTTAGTACGCTGCGGAAATGGCAAGGTAGAGATTCTATTCAAACTATATTTTAAATCCTTGAGAATGATTGCGCTTTACTATCAACTTATGTTATAATATCACGCGATACAGGGAATTGTAGTGAATACGGGAGAAAAGAGTGAATTTGGGGAGGTTTTCTCGATGATGCAAGCTGAGGAGGCACCAAAGACTCCACTACAGCGAAGCATGGACATTTTAGGTACTCAGCTGTCCTTCTATTCGTTCTGCATTATCGGTATCATTATGCTGCTGGGCTGGATCCAAGGTAAGGCTATCCTTGAGATGTTTACCATTGGTGTAAGCTTGGCAGTAGCGGCTATACCGGAAGGCTTGCCTATCGTCGTGACTGTGACACTGGCATTGGGAGTAATGAGAATGGTTAAGAGAAAAGCTATTATAAAGAAGTTACCAACCGTTGAGACTCTCGGTAGGTTAACAAAAATATGAAATATTTATTTTATTCAAGTTGTTTTTCTTATTGATTTAATTATCTATCAAAATATTATTTTTCTAATCTCTTATTTAAAACTTCAAACGTAAGAAAAGAGCTTATGTTTTTTTTAGGCTGCGTAAATGTAATATGTTCTGATAAAACCGGCACAATTACAAAGAACGAGATGACCGCTACGATTCTCGTTACATCGGAGGGTTACATCGCGGATGTTACTGGAGCGGGATATAACGGGGTGGGAGAAATACACATACGGAAGTGTGATAATTCTGATCTTGCACATGCTGCTATCAGTAACATGCTGGAAATAGGTTGCGTTTGTAATAACGCTATCATACAAAATGACGTTCTGTTGGGACAACCAACGGAAGGCGCGCTGATAGCAGTGGCAATGAAATTCGGAATGTATGGTGTCGCTGATAGATATTTGCGATTGCAAGAATATCCATTTTCTTCTGAGCAAAAAATGATGGCTGTGAAATGTACACCCAAGTTTGGCGAGGTAAATTTAAATGAAGCAAAGGGTCGTATTATCCTTAGTTATTATTTAAATGAAGCAAAGGATCACATTATTCTTAGTTATAGATTTTTATGTTGGAATGTTAAATACATATGCTATAATTCTATATTTCAGAATAGACAGGAAATATACTTTGTGAAAGGTGCTTTGGAGAAAATCTTACCACAATGTACAAAATATTATGAGAACGGTCAAGTGTATCCCCTTAGTCAAAAGAAAGATCAGGAATTCTTAACAGAAGCATATGATATTGGTCAACAAGGGTTGAGAGGTATTATTTTTTTTTCACAAACTATAATTTAAATAGATAATAAATTTAAGAATTATATTTTTTTGTAATTATTTGGTTATTTATGTATATAGTGATTGGTCTGGCACGTGGTTCTTCGTTACAAGATTTAATTTATGTTGGCTTGGTTGGTATTTGTGACCCACCAAGACCGTATGTGCGCGAATCTATTAGCATTTTAATAAACAGTGGCGTTAAAGTGAAGATGGTGACTGGTGATGCTAAGGAAACTGCAGCTGCAATAGGTATATAAATAAATAGTGTATCATATGTAAAAAGTTTAGATTTTTTAATAAACAATGGATATAAATTTTTACAATTAAAAAGTTATAAAAAATTTAATAATTTTTTAGCTAGCATGATTGGTTTGGACACACTTCATAGTCGATTGCTTTCGGGAGACGAGATCGATATGATGTCCGAACATCAATTGGAACAGTGCATTAATAGTGTTAGTGTATTTTACCGAGTAACACCAAAGCACAAACTTTGTATTGTAAAGGCCTTACAGAGGAATGGCAACATAGTAGGTATGACCGGTGACGGCGTAAACGATGGAGTTGCGTTGAAAAAGGCCGATATAGGCATCGCCATGGGTAAAAATGGCACTGATGTATGCAAAGAAGCGGCCGACATGATCTTGGTTGACGACGATTTTGGAACTATTATGTAATTAATATATTTGCTAACAATTTTAACGTATGTGAATTTGTGACTATATAATCTTTATCTATTATATGATTTTTGTTTTAGCGCGGCGATCGAAGAGGGAAAGGGAATCTTTCACAACATTCGCAATTTTGTCAGGTTTCAATTGAGTACTAGCATAGCTGCGCTTTCTCTGATTGCTCTTGCAACATTGATGAGTATACCGAATCCTTTGAATGCTATGCAAATATTATGGATCAATATCATTATGGATGGTCCACCTGCTCAAAGGTTAGTTAAATAAATACTTTTAATTTAACGTTTTATTAAATATTTACTACAGTATGTTCAATTTTCTTCTGTACACACATAGTCTTGGGGTAGAACCGGTTGACAAAGATGTTTTGAAGCAAAAGCCACGAAATACAAAGGAGCCAATGATTACGCGTCATCTCATAATTAACGTCTTATTATCCGCTAGCATCATTATTCTTGGTACTTTATGGGTGTACAATAGAGAGGTAATGTTTTTCAAATCAGTATACACACACACACACAAAATTATTGATTATATATGCATATGTATGTTTAATTTCCAGATGGTTAATGGGAATACCGCGAGAGAT